TATAAGGCACTTACTTAGCCGTCTTACTAAACTACGCCGCTAGCGGGGCAGCTAGGGTCTTACTATTACTACGCCCTTTAAGGCGTATAGCCGCTATCTAGATATCGCTATCTATATTAACCGCTAACTTAAGAGTAAGCCTAGGTATAAATAGGTTAAGTAAGGAGGAACTATCTAGCCCGTTAGTCCTACTTAAGGCTAAGCGCTTATATAGCTTTTAAAAGTATAGCGTTTACTTATATCCTTAGGCTACCTTTATAAGGCGGGCTATATAGCCCTTATAGGTAGAGGGTATTATAATAAGGATAAGTAGCTCTTAAAGCGCTAAGGAGATTAAGTTCTATAGTTAGATAAGCTTAGCGCTATCCTCTTAGGTAGTATTACCTACTACCTAAGTTAGGGTCTCTTTAAATTCTAGTAAGAACTCTTTAAAGGACTACCCTTCTTACTAAGTAAGGGTCTATAGCCTATCCTATGCCTTCTCCTATTCTTATACGTTATTAAAAGTATAGACTAAGTAGTTAAAGAATACTTAGGGTCTTTCGTCCCCTTAGGACCGCCCTGCTCTTAAAAGCCCGCTACTTACTATATTTAGGGCTTTAGTAGTATATATAAAAGTAAGAACTAAGCCGTCTCCTTATAGCTATTAAGGCCCTATTTCTTATTAATATAGTATTTCGCTATTAAGCGGTTAAGGAAGAAGTAAAAGGTCTCTAGCTTACTATCCTAGGTAAGCTAAGGTAGTAGCTTCTATTTACTAAGGGCTACCTCGCGCTCTAACCTCTTAGTAGTAGGGGGCGTATTTATTAGAGCTAGCGTTAAGAGGGTATTAAGGATCTAGTATAGGGTTACTTATTAGTCTAAGTGTTATAATATCTAGTAAAATAGCTTTATAAATCGGGCTTATTTATCTTATTACTACTAAATCTCTTTTTATAGGTATTACTAATATAGCTCGTCTACTTATTACTATAGCTATTAGTACTAAGCTTCTTTTTATAGTAGCTACTATTACTATTACTACCTTAGCTAGTACTACTAAGGTTTTAATATTAGGTTTAATATAAGGATAGCTTATACTATTATAGGGTAGGTAGAGGGTTATACTATAGGTGCCTTTATTATATTATAATAATAAGCTATATAGGATCTAACTATATACTACGCTTACTACTAATAAATACGCGTTTATATATATAGCCTACCTTACCTTATAAAGCTATTAGCGTAAGTCTAAGCATTAGCCTAGACTTATACTAAGGGTAAATACCCTTATACTTACTTTAACTTATAAAATTAATAGCTAGTTTATATTTAATACGCGTAATAATATATAGTAGCTAGTTTATATAATACTTTCAAGTATATATAGTAGCTAGTCTATTTAGTTACTATTAGACCTATACTAGGTCTAGGTAGATAGTAAGGTTAAGTACTAGCTTTATACTAAGGGACTAGTATATAATATCTTTTATAAGCTTAATAGTAATAAGTTTCTTTTTTTATTTTCTTTTATAGTATAAAAGGAAGATAACGCTAGTAATACTATAGATATTTCTATCTTTACTTTAAAGACTAAAGATAAAAAGAGGTAGTAATAAAAGTATCGCTATATAAGCTATAGTATTAAATCCTATTAGTTTTAAAAGTACTTATACTAAGAGGTATAAGTAAATATACTTTAAGTAGTAAAAGGGTATATACGCTAAGATAAAAAGGAGGTTAGGTTTAATAATAGCGACTTTAATAATAAGTAATCTTAGTAATACCTTTATAAGCTTTATTAGCGTTCCCTTATATATAGTAGTAGCTACTATATAAATAGGATATATACTTATAGTAATTAAAAGGGTAGCTAAGTATAAGAATATACCCTTATATTCCTATTTTACTATTATATTTAAATAATAGGTATAGGGAAGCTCTATAAAATAAACTAGTAAAAAGAGGCTCTATAATATAGTTTAAAGGGAATAACCCTTAATAATAAAAGACGTCTACTAGATATTTATAGCTTCCTTTAAGAAACGCGGGTCGAGATAAGCCTGTCCTAATAAATAAAAATATATATAAAATACATAAGTTAATTACGAGCAGAACGGATACCCTATTGCCTATTTTAGCCTAGCGGTTCTAAAGATATCCGCGATACGAGAATAGGTAGGGCATAGAACATTCTAAAATCTACTACTTATACTAGAACCTATAGTCTTACGTTAACTATTACGCTATAATTAGCCTACCTACTAAGTCTAGAAGATATACTAAAGATAGAGGTTTTTAAGCACTATAGAATATACTAGAAAGCTAACTAATTAGTCTACTAGTAGGCGAATAATAGTCTATAAAAGACAAAGGATTTCCCTAGGAATAGTAAATAAAATAAGTAAGTTCGTAAGTATCTTTTATAATAGTATTCTTTTAATATATTATTTAGCCCCTTATATACTCATTATAAATTCCGGACGAAAGCCTACCCTATACTCCTTCGACCGATCTTTCCGCTTATATTATCGATTACCCGATCCTACGCTTATTACTTATACCTTTTAATACTAAGATATAAAAAGGCCGCTACTATAATATAACTATAGTAAAAGAGAGTACTTATATAGCCTTATATAAGAGGGAGTAGAGCCTTATATACTAAAGTACTATCTCTTATATTTAGTATTAAGAGCTATTACTATATACTAATATAAAGGGAGTAGGATACTATAAGCTTACTAAAGCTAGCTATACGCTATTTTATATACCTTTACTTCTTAACTATAAGTACTAAAGTTTAACTCTTAGGGTATAGACCCTATTAATAATATAGTTTATTTAAGAAGCTTACTTAAAAGGGTATTATATATTATTTACTTATGTTTTTTCTATAATAAAGTATATATAGTCTATATAAAAGTTCTATTTTCTTAAGTATAGTATTAAGTATTAATTAATTAAGATTATACTAGTAACTTATTTAAAGGTATTTAGAACTTTAGCGTTAAATAAAAGGGAAAAACTAAAGTACTTAAAGGAAAACCCTCCCTTCTTTTATAGCTAGTCCGCCCTTATACTAAGTCGCGGTTATAATATATAAGAATCTTACGCTAGCTATCTTAGGTATTATTATAATTAGTTAGAATTATATTAGCCCTACTATAAAGTAACCTTAGAAAGTAACTCCTTTATATATATAGGGTATATAGCGTTAATTAGTAGTATAAGCGTTTTTAGTTAATAGTTAATTATATAATTATCTCTAACCTTATCTTATAATAATATCTTCTTAGGCTCTACCTTATTTTTCCGCTATAAGGCTTAGCGGGCTATTTTATATTAATGCTAGCTTTTAGCCGGGCCGGTAGTTAGGTTATTATACTAGCTTCGTACTATACTTATCGAGTTACTAGTATCGGCCCTAGGTTTTTATTTTCCCGGTCGGTAGGCCTAGACCGGGGTTAAGGGGAGGTCCTAATAAATTCGTTACTAGGTCTAGGTAGGCGAGGTCCCGGCCGGCCTACTTATAGCGGGGCTAGACTACTAGTATATTTATAAGCGCTTTTAAAAGCGCTAATTAGCTAATTAATAAGTAGGTTAGCGTAGTCTACTAGTTTAACTAAAAGTTAATCGTGCCCTTAGCTAGATTTAAACCGACTCTAGCGTTATAGCTAGTAGGCCTCCTAGGTATATAACTACTATACTATAAGGGTATAGTATTAAGTATTATTTAAAGTCGCGCCTCTTTAAAAGCTAAGTAAGGGTAAAATATAAAGGCTTTTACCTTATATAGGCCTAGACTAAGGTCTAGGCTAAGTTTATATATAAGCGGCCTTTATACTTATATAAGCTAAGCTTATACTTTTCTTTCTTTTTCCTTTTATAAATTATTAACCTTCTTTTAATAGACCGTACCTAAGCCTATACCTTTACTTACTTTATAATATATATCTATTTAAAAGACCCCTTACTTAGCCTTTAGCCTAAAAAAGAGCCTTATAAAGAGGCTTAAGCTAACCTTTTTAGCCTTTTACTAGCTCCTCTTTAAAGCTAGCTTTTTATTTTCCTTCTTAAAAAGGATTAATAATATAAACTAAAATAACTACTACTATAGCTAAGGAAGGTATATAGCTAGGCACCTTATCTTAAGGTACTTAAACTATAAGAAGGAAAGAGAGGTCTTTTACTAAGCTTTTAAAGGATAAAAGGAGGCCCTTAGCCTACCTCTTCTTTATAGCTTTAAGAAAGAAAGGGAAGCCCTTTTAACCTTTATAGCTAAAATAAAGATAGGAATAGCTAAGTAGCTTAAAAAAGGGTAATATAAGGGCCCTAGGGCCCTTAAGAGGGGGAAATACTATAAAGGAGGAATTAAACTAACCTTTTCTTTATCTTTACTTTTATAGCTACCCTTTCCTTAATTAGTTATAAGCCTCTAAACTTTATAGCTAGCTAGGACTACTAATAAAAGCCTAGGCTCTTATTAGCCTCGCTATAGCCTTAGATACTATATATAAGTAATAATATATTTAAAAAAAAAAGATAAGGAATTTTATAGCTAGTTATTACTTATATATATATATCTTATCGCTAAAGCTAACTATTACTACTATATATAATTATTATAGCCTAGGCTAACTATATTACTTTAGTTATATTCCCTCGTTATCTTCCTAGGCCGCCGCGGCTACTTATTACCGCTAGCTTATATAACGAGGGCTTCGTTAAAGCTATTTATAGCGGCTTAGGAGAGCGTTAATACGGGTAGATTATATTGCGGCTCTATAGAATTACGTAAACCGTTATAGTCGAAAATTAGCTGTGTAAGGTTTTCCTAGTGCTATCGCCTGCGTGGCCCGTATCTGCTTTGTATCTATATACTGTGGGGCCCGGACCGTAGACCAGTCTTACCGCAGCCAAAGGGATTCTGGATCTCCATCCAACTTTTCGGCGGCGTCTTTTCCTCACCAAGTCCGACTCCGACTTGCCGGACTGCAAAATTACAACAATCCAACATGTCGCATCACGATCGCCAGGCCAAGGTTCGGCTCCTGCAGTGGAACACTGTAGCTCTACAGATGCTGACTATCCAATTAGAAGCGAAAAACGGCACACAATGGCCGGCAGGACCATACGTCCTTTAAGCCCTCAGCCAGCTTCACCCCCGTCCAGGGTGGTAGGGACTGGACCGTGTCCGTTGCAATCCCCAGCAGCATCCTGACCAAGTAAGCCACAGCGTCTCTCTGTACCTCATCGCAGCCGTCGAGCTGACATGCCACGCCCGCACAGCCTCGCCACCGCGGACCAACGCATGGCAGCCCCTGGCCGCATCGCCCGCGCCCTCGCCGTCTTCTCCGTCGACGAGGTCGTCGTCTTTGATGACTCGCCCGCATCGTCGCGCCCACGCCAGACGGACCCCGCGGCCTACACGGGCGACACGGACCCGTGCCACTTCCTCGCTCACATCCTGTCCTTTCTCGAGGCGCCGCCGTTTATGCGCAAGACGCTCTTCCCGCTGCACCCCAACCTGCGGCTGACGGCTCTCCTGCCGAGCCTCGACATGCCGCACCACCCGCATCCCAAGGAGTGGATCGCCTACCGCGAAGGCGTCACCGTCGCCGGCAAGACGAGCTCAGGCAAGGGCACCCTCGTCGAGGTGGGGCTGGAGGAACCCGTCGAGATTGAGGAGCAGATCCCGCCCAAGACGAGGGTGACGCTGCGTTTCCCCGACGACCAGTCCCAGTACCCCGAGTGCATCCACCCAGCGGCGCCCCGCACTGACGGCGGCTTCTACTGGGGCTACACAGTCCGCCGCTGCGCCTCGCTCTCGTCCGTCTTCACCGAGTCGCCGTACGACGACGGTTACGATATGAGCATCGGCACCTCGGAGCGGGGCATGCCCGTGTCCAGGGCCTTTCCCCCGTCGTCCTCCAAACCCCTCGACTTCAAGCACCTTCTCATCGTCTTTGGCGGGCCCCGCGGGCTCGAGTTTGCCTCCATGAACGACGAAGAGCTGAGCGGCAGGGACGTTCAAGGCACCAAGACCAAGGAGCTGTTTGACCACTGGCTCAACGTGCTGCCGAACCAGGGGAGCAGGACGATTAGGACCGAGGAGGCTGTGTTTATTGCGTTGACGGCCCTCAGGGGTCTGTGGGATGCAAGCTGATGAGACGTAGCATAATGCGTGTTGATACCCCGTGGCCTTTTTATGAACATTGCGTGTAAATGTGTGTCACGCCCTCGTGGTGATGGAGCTTGCTGTATGCAACACTGACATCCGTCTTGTACGTGCAAAGGGATAGGGGGCATCTTTGCCGCTGCCATTCCGTCCCGATGTCGAATTTTCCCATGCCAAGCTGTGGTGAGAGTTGTTGAATAAACCAAAATCTCTCTAGTTGAAACTCTTCCGTCAACGCCATCCCATGCAGATGAAAAGCAAGCAGCCCCTTCCTTCTCCTTGGTTCCAGAGCGCCCATATTCCCGTGATTATATCTCCCGATGTTTAAAGGAGCACCCAGACTTCATATGCTGGATCGCGCCGTGTCCGCGTCTAGTGCAACGGCCCGCGACAGACTCCCGCTAACCGCTACACCTTTGTCGCCGGCGCGCTTGCGCAGCACGTTCTCAATAAACGCCTCGCCGGCCTTGTACGAGGAGCGGACGAGGGGCCCGCTGGCACAGTAGAGGAAGCCCATGTCGAGGGCGCGCGTGCGCCACTTTTCGAACTCGTCGGGCGTCACGTACTTTTCCACCTTGAGGTGGCGCTTGGTCGGGCGCATGTACTGGCCAAAGGTGACGACGTCGACGTCGGCCTTTCGCAGCTCTGTCGGTTGGTTAGCGCTGGCGACGGCAGGGAGGCGAGGAATAGAGTAGGCGTGGTTGCTGACCTTCAAGGGCATTCATGAGCTCGTGCTCCTGCTCGCCCAGGCCGAGCATGATGCTGGTCTTGGTGATGATGCCGTCCCTGCCCTTGACATCTTTGACGTGCTTCAGAACCTTGAGGCTCTGTCGGAACGTGGCTCTGCGGTCCCGGACGTAGGGCGTCAGGCCCTCGACCGTCTCGACGTTGTGCGCGTAGACGTCGAGACCGCTCTCGGCGACGACGCGCACCATGTCGAGGTCGCCGCCAAAGTCGCCCGTCAGCGCCTCGACAAGCAGCGACGGCTTCTTGTGTTTGATTTTGCGAATCGTCTCGGCAAAGTGGCGAGCGCCGCCGTCAGCAAGGTCGTCGCGGTCGACGCTGGTGAGGACAACGTAGCCCAGTCCCCATCGCGCGAGGGCCTCGGCCGTGTGCTCGGGCTCGTGGGGGTCAAGCGGGGGCGGGGCGCGGCTCGTCTTGACGCTGCAGAAGCGGCATCCGCGCGTGCACGTGTCCCCCATGAGCATGATGGTTGCGGTGGCGGCGCTCTTGTCGGAGCCGCCCCAGCACTCGGAGATGTTTGGGCAGCGAGCCTCCTCGCAGACGGTGTGCAGGCCGAGGCCGCGCAGGTCGGCCTTGATCTTCTTGTAATTGTCGTTGCCCGCGGGTATGGGCGTCTTGAGCCACTCGGGCAGCCGCGTTATCGTGCGCTTCTTGCCGACGGGGCCGACCTCGGCGGTGCGTAGGGCATAGGCCTCGGAGGACGCCATGGGCTGTTGGGGGGCGCCCACAAAGTCGGAGAAGGGCGCGACGGTCGTGTCCTTGAAGTAGGTCTTGCGCTTGGGTGGTGTCGTCGACGCGGCCTCGTCGGGGTTGGGGACGGTGGCGAAAGAGCGCATGGAGGCTCGGAGGGTCCTCTGGACGGGCGCCCGCGCACGATGCAGCGACGAGGCCATTGGAGATGCCATGGCGGGCAATGACGGGCGGGCGAAGAGATGACAGCGCCTCCTTTCTTGTCGTGGTGAGGGCGAGGTGATGGATGGGGAGGTGGATGGAAAAGTCTCGCAGCAGGCAAGTGGCAATGCCGGCACAAGGCCGGCGCCACCCAGCCAATGAGCCTCATGTCAAGAAGTCCCTGTAAGGAAAATCGTACTTCATATTAATAAACATTAGTATCTGTACACAAACACATCTATTCGTACCCACACCCCATTTTTAAATGGCCTTCGTCGGGCGTTAAAGGAATCGTTGAGTGGGAGGCAATTAAGTAGGGGCCGCCGTCGCCACCTATATAACCGTAAGGGCCAGAGGGGCCAGATCAACTAGCGGGCCGATTGTTGCAACTTCGAGCTGAAGGCTCGGAAATACGTCATTTGAACGAATTGAGAGGCATGCGTTGTAAGTATGGTTAAGAGCCTATTGCGTACTATGTATGCGGGCGGGCGGGCGCGGGTGTGTTTGTGCGGGCATTTACGTAGGCGGTACGGGTAACACTTGCCAGACGCGCGCGGTATAAATGGGCAGGGCGGGCTGGCGCTGGTACGTATCTTAAAAATAGGGCGTGGGTGCGGATAGAGATATGCGAAAGTGCGAATAGTATTACCTTTAAAGATCATGTCAGGACAAGAAAGGGCCTGTAATACGCGTTAGTAACACCTCTATTGGGGGTGCCCTCATTTTGCATGGTGTAGCGGTATTTTACCAGCTTGACAGATACATACCAACGCCAGCCAGTCCCCCATGTTAATTATAGACCTCCTGGAAACTGGGTAGAACTTACTGCAGTTATTAACTAGATCCAGTCGAGTGGGAGCGGCAGTTTCGATCCCTACGAGGCGTCGCTTCCTTAGTATTATAGTTTAAAAGGCCGACCTACCGTTTGCGGGCTTGGTGGGCATGGTAGGTAAAGTCCAAAGGTTTTACGCGCGGCTTCTATGCAGTACGAATTCGAAGCGAGGAAGTTGCTATATATAGAAGTAGTCGAAGGGTTCTAAAGTCTTTAGCTATTATAGTATTAAATAAGTTCGTATAAAATCGGCCGGAGAGATACTAAAGATGCTTAGGGTATTATTATAAGATATTAATCCTTTATAATTATACTAGAAGCAGTAATATAGGGTCGAATTCTTATAAGGGAGTCGAGGCGCGGTATTATAAGCATTTAACGAGCTATTTCCTAGACTATATTTAGCCCGAGCTAGTAGTAAGGCGGCGGTAATTAAGGTTACTATTATAGGGCTAAGGCCCTTAGTTAGTTATTTAGTCTAGACTAAACGTTCTTATATATAGTTAATTAACGAAGCTATTGCTTAGTTAATTCTACTCCCTTTTACTATACCTAGTATATATCCTTATATAGTAGAGGGGGGTCTTATTTTTATTACTTATATATAGCTTCTAGGGCCTCGGAGGGGGGTCTAGTAGCGCGACTACTACTTTTGCCCTTTTAGGCTAAGACCCTTATAGTTATAAAGGAAAAAACTATATTAAGCCTTTAAAGTTATAACTTATAAGAGTAATAGCTTTAATATAGATATAATATATAGCCTATTTATTACTAGTACTCTTATTAAATTACCTTAAAAAGTCCTATATTAGCTAGCTTAAATTATAAGACTAATAGTTTTATAAAATTATTACTCTTATAAAGAGAGATATAAGAAGTATATATAAAATATATAAAAGTAAAATTAAAAGTAATAGGTTAAATAGGTAAGGTAAAGATATTTAATTCTTATAAGGGTAGTAATTATAATAAGGGAGTAATTATTATATTACCTTAATTATCCTTCTTTCCTCTATCTAACGCCCCTTTTTATACCTATTTAAAATCTTAATTAATAAAGAAGATCCTACTTAAAGAAGCTACTAATATCCTTTTAACTACTAAGCTTTTTACCGGTTTTTCCCTTTTATTCTAGCTATTGCTAGTATATCTATTTTATCTCTCGCTACCTTTATAAGAAGCTATCGCTACTTTTACTTCCCCTTATACCCCTACCCTCCTCTCTATACCTCCTTTTAGCCCTTTCTTTAAAACCGGTTTATTAGCTTCCTAGGTCCCTCGTACTAAGGGATATCTCTAAGAATATAAATTAAGCTATACTTCGCGATATACCCCCTTAGCTATAGCCTGCCCTTATAGAAAAGGTAAAGCTAAATAATTAGGCTAGTAAGCGTATAAAGGAGGTCTTAGTCTATATTTATCCCTTACTCGAGAAATCCGGGTTTTAGCCCTAGGCTCTTTTAGACCTACTTTAGGAAAAGGGGCCTAAGGAGGAAATTAAGTCCTATAAGAAAGGGGGTCTTCCTTTTAAAGAAGAATAAGTCCTAATTAAGCTAGGGGCCCTCCTTTAGGATAAGTCCTAGTTCCTCTCTTTAGCTATAGACGTCTCCTTCCTCCTATATACTATTAGCTCCTCTTATAAACTCTTAAAGCGGGCTTCTAAGGATAGCTTCTCTTAAACGTCTTCTAGCTTAATTTACTATAAAAAGATAGCTAGCTTTTACTTTAGTAGGAGCTTTATAAGACCGTCGGCTTTTATTAATACTATTAGAACCTAATAAATAGAAATAAGTCCCCTTTAGACCTCTTAGTATAACTAATACTAGTAGATATCGATATACTATAGCTAGGTTAATAGCTTCTATTAATATTAGTGTTTTTCTTACTCCCTAGCTTAAAAGGATAGATTAAGTAAAAGCTCTTTATCTAATATTAGTATAAAAGGAAGCTTCTTTTTAAGGGAATTAAGGAGGAATTTATAAGCGACCTTATTAATATAGGCGTCCTAGGTAAGCTTAATAGTCCGTTAGGACCTATTCTAAAGGATTCGAATCCCTAGGAACTACTTTAGCTCCCTTAGCTTAGTTATCTTATACCTTTATTATAGGCCTTTTATAGCCTCCTTAGTAGTTACTTCTTCCTCTTTTAGGTAGGCCTAGATAATATTATCGATATAAAAGAAGACTATAATTTTACCCTTTTATATTATATATAGTTCTTAAGGGACTTTCTTAAAGCCTAGGGCTTTAAGGGAACCTATAAAATACTATTACTAAAGAAGGGGTAATCTTCGTAGTCTATATAGAGCTTTCCTAAGCTATAGAATATTTCCTAGCTATTAAAAGCTTAGTAAAAGGCGTATATCGATAACTTCTTCTTCTTTAAGGGGGTAGTTTTTAAAGGCGTTAACGGTATCTATCTAATTAAGTTCGAGGTCGAATTCTACTACTATAGCTATAAGGGTCCGAAAAGATATCCCTACTAAGGTAGTTACCTTAGTAGGAAGTTCCCCCTTTTCCTACTAGTTCTTATAGATAACTAGCAAGGCTTTATACTTTTAAAGGAAGCTATATTTATTAGTCTTATAGATAAAGACCTACTTATAGCTAAGGACTTATTTTCCTCTTACCTTTTCCTTAAGGACCTTATTAAAAGACCTTATCTCTTTATATAAGGCTAGATAGTCTTTCTAGGCCTAGAAAAACTAGTCTTTAAAGGGGCGTTTTTTTAGCTGCTTTTAGTTTACTAGTAGGTCTAAGAGGTCTCTTTTATATACGTTCCTTACTAATAGAGGTTTAAAAAGCCGGCCTACTATAAATACTTTATAGGAATCGTTTTCTATAGGCATTAAATAAAAGTTAGAAAAATAATCGAAATAAGAAAGAGGTTAGTATTCTTTAGTAACTATATTAGGCCTTATACCTTCCTTTACTTCTTAAAGTAGGGATAAAAAGGTAGCTAGGTAATCCTTTAAGAGAGAAAGAGGTGCCTTTCCTACCCCCTTAGGGGTTAAGATTAGAAGACTAATAAGAAAAACTACTTTTAGATCTTCTTATTATATAAGAGGAGGCGTAGGGAGGTAGGCGTATTCTAGCTCTACCGCTTTCCTATAGTCTCCTTCTTTATCTAGATTATTTAATCTAGTAGCTTCCTCTTTTTCTTTAAAGTTAGCGTTATCCTTAACTATTTCGATATTAGTTTCTTCTTCCGTTTCCTTATCTAAGACCTCTTCTTAAGACTATTAAGAAGGGGGGATTTAGATCTTTTAAATTAGCTAATATTATATATATAAGAGGGGCTATTAATCCCTCCTTCTATTAAAGAAGCTAGATTCGTTAAAAATTATATCCTTAGTTAAAATAACCTTCTATAAGGAATCTAGATCCGGAAGATATTTATAGAATTATAACTAACGAGGTAACTAATAAAGACTCTAGGATTAAGCTTTCTTTTCTTCTTCCTTTTTAGCTATATATTAGTAGTTATAGCGTATACTTTATAGCTATAGGTATAAAGGTAGGCTAGTAAGGCTCTTTTCTTTATAAAGAGCTTAAGGGGGGGTTTTTAGTTTATTCCTTAGTTTAGCTCTCTAAGGTCCTTAGGGTCCCTAAGGGTCCGGTTTTAAAGGTAATAAGCGGTCTTAATAACTCCCCTTTAAAGGTTATAAGGAAGCTTTATAATAAGTCTTATTATATAGGCCCTTTTTATTATAGTACCCTTTTATCTTTCTACCCTTTTATTTTAGGCCTAGGTATTTAGTACTAATAAGAGGGGTAAAATACCCCTTTTTCGAAGCTAGTTTAAGATATCTTTTTTAAATAGCTTTTTATTAAACCGTATCTTCTTTACCTTATAGCTAAAGTAGGATTTTATCTAGTTAACGAAGTCCTAGAGGGCAAACTAGTTATACTTACTTAGGTAGGTCTATAAGAAATAAGGGAAAACTATCCCTAAAAAGGCGTCTATAAAAAACATTACCCTAACGAAGCTTTCCTAATCCCTAGAGACGTTAGTCTAGTCGACCTAAATTTCCTTATATAGGTAGTCCGGCTATATTAAGGTCCGTCTAGAAATTCGTCTCTTAGTCTTCCCTTAGCCGTAGTATTCGTATTTAACGGTCTTTAGGCCCCTTATTCGTACGCCCTATTATTAGCCTAGCTTATATAAAGCTAGGGGGCCCGG